TTTTTTAAGTCCCACAAAATCACAAGATATTCATATCCTTTTAAATTTTTTTGGGATTTGTAATATTTGGATTTGCTAGGATTTTAAGGAGAAAATATATGTACCAAATTTCATTGCAAATCTCAAATCAAAAAATGGGATTCTGAAGGATTATTTTTACGAATGTGAAGAGTTTTTACAAGGTCCAATATAATCTCTTCTTCTTCTTCTTCTTCTTCTTCTTTACATCGCATAATTATATATAAAAAAATATTAAACACATAAAAAACATAAACACATTTTATGTGTTTCTCAAACACATACACCTTACTGAATATTGTTGATCATTAAAAATATTGAATTAATCTTTTATGGCATCCATTCATATTGAAAACAAAATTGCATTAGAATTTAATAATCACAATGGATATGTATATGTTTGACGAAAAACAGGAAAAAATAAAGAAAAATATTACGCTATAACAAAATTTATTTTCAATTGAATAATTAAAATTGATTCTTAAAAATCCGTTTGCAACTTAAAAAATTATTCATCTTCCTCATCCCTTCTTCTTCTTTCTCCATATTTTGTTTTTGTTGGAGAAAACCATTGTTTTGTTACTCTAGTACAAGCATCTTTTCTATTGATGAGTAAATTTTATGATCTTGTCAAAATTATATTTGTTTCGCAATTGTTTCTTTGGATTTGAATAATTTTTTGATTACTTATTTTCATAAAATATTTTTTTATGACCATTAGTTTAGATTATTTTCTAATGAATCCTTGGAAAATTTTTTAATAGTAAACCCAATTCTATGTTGCAATATCACTATATTCATTACTTTTAATATTCATAGGGTGGTTGGCTTAATATTTGTACAAAAAGATAAATAAAAGATGTAAAATAAAAATTCACATTGCTTCTTGTTCAAATTAATTTGTATAAATTTTTCATAAATTCTCACAACGATATATTTAGATATCAGTGTTGATGTTTATTCAATGCAAAAAGAAAAAATAAAAAAGAAAAAGAAATTATAAAACTCTTGAAAAGTCTGATAAAATCTACAGAAGTCTTGAAGAATACTAGATGTAACTTTTGTGGATTTCTAATAAATCCTATATAATTCATGAGAATCCATGAGAAATGCTAAAATCCCACAAAATCCCATTCTTAGTAAAATCTTAAAATGTCTTTTAGAATCCAAAACGAATACACCCTCAAATAAGTTAAATACTTCAGATTTTGTAAGAATTTTTAAAATCTCAAATGAATAACTCAAAACTTTTAAAAGTTTTAAAAAGTCTAAATTGATTAATACACTAAAAATTTCTTCTTAAAAAATATTTAAAAATTCCAAACGAATGGACGTAAGTTTTGGAGTGAGATTTTGTACATGGTTTTTTCTTTTGAAATCACAACAAAATCTTAAAAAGTGTTAACAAATCTATGTTTCAAATAAGTTAAATATCTCAAGATTTTGTAAGTTTTTTTAAAATCTAGAATGAATACCTAAAGTCTTAAAAAGTCAAAGGGAGTGTATTTATTTGAGAGTTTGAGTGACATTTTGTCTTTTTTAGATTTGATATTTTTTAAAATTTTCAAATTAGAAGGAATTCTATGAAATTTTAAGTTTGGAGGATAGATTTGGAATGAAATTTTATATATGTTTTTTCTTTTGAAGCAAATCTTAAGAAGTCCTGATAAATCTGAGTCTTAAACAAGTTAAATAATTTGAGATTTTGCAAGACTTTTTATAATTTCAAATAAATATATTAATACTTTTAAAAGTCTTAAAGGATCATATAAAATCTAAATTAAATACACTAATATTTTTGAAATCCTAAAAACCATCACAAAAAAAGAAGACAAAAACTATACTCCTAAGTTAAGGGAAATGCTCCCCTATCCACGGTTGACACATATTAATATGTCCACCGGTTATGTGGCATGCACACATTGGTGATGTATTTTTTTAATATATTAACATCATCAATGTGTGTTCGCACTAGGGGCGGTACCGTAATTAACCAACTCTTTAAGTGTGAACGCAACAAACCAAGTAATTACGGTACCGCCCCTAGTGTGAACACTCGCATTTTATTCAAGCAGGACGAGGTTGTTTATATACTGCGAGTGTTCACACTAGGGGCGGTACTATAAGTGATTGATATATTAACATGTGTCCAGTGGAGAGCATTTCCGCCTATGTTAAATATGATTTCTAAAATTCTAAAACCAATACACTCCTAGCTTCTAAGTTAATTACAACATGATTTCTAAAATTAGTCTTTAGCTTATGCAATCCCAAAACTTTACTTAAATGAACCCATTATAACTGGTTACACCTTTTCAGCTCTGCTCATACCCTTTCCTTCCTGCCTCCTCCATTCCATCACGAGATGGATGGGAACAAAGACGAAGCTCTCAAGTGTTTGAAGATCGCCAAAGACTCCATTAGATCGGGCGACAAAACCCGTGCTCAGAAATTTCTCAACAAAGCTCGCAGATTGGACCCATCTATCGATATTGATGTTTTACTCTCAGATCTCGACTCGAACATAGACGAAACCCCCGATGAAAATCGGGTTCACCACCGCAAGGTCCCGCCGCCGGCGACCGGACCGTCCTCCGCCTCATCATCATCGGTGGGCTACACCGAGGAGCAGGTTGCTGTCGTGAGATCGATTAAGAAGAAGAAAGACTATTACGAGATTTTGGGGCTAGAAAAGAGCTGTAGCGCCGAAGATATTCGCAAGGCCTACCGAAAAATATCTCTGAAAGTCCATCCCGACAAAAACCAAGCGCCCGGTGCAGAGGAGGCGTTTAAAATGGTGTCCAAGGCGTTTCAATGCTTGAGTGACGTGGACAGCCGGAAAAGGTATGATCTTGTGCGCACTGATGAGCCTGTGTACGAGAGGAGGCGGGGAAGTGCAAACGGGATGCGTGGATTTAATGGATTCCATAACGGAGATGTAGATGCCGAGGAGATTTTCAGGAATTTCTTTTTCGGGGGAATGCATCCGGCCACCAGAGGAAATTTCGGGGGATTTTCGTTTGGGCCGGGAGTTAGGGTTAGGACTGATGGTGTTGATCAGAGTTCAAATTGGCTGAGGACTTTGATTCATTTAATACCGGTGATATTGCTGGTGTTGGTGAACTTTCTACCTTCATCAGAGCCTGTTTATTCTCTTACTCGGTCTTATGGTTATGACGCCAGGTTTAATACGCCTAAAGGCGTGACTTATTACGTGAAGTCTGCCAAGTTTGAGCAGCAATATCCTTGGAATAGTCCGGAACGCCTTGCCATCGAACAACAGGTGGAGAATGAGTATCACTCAGTTCTTGTGCATAACTGTAGGCTTGAATGGCAGCAAATGTACTGGGGCAACAGGCGTTCCACGCCCAATTGTGATGCACTTAAGCAATTTGAGGCAAAGGTGCAATAAATTGGTTGAAGGTACGGTTTTGTTTTAACCCTTTTTTGTTTGCATTTGTTTTATGTTTAACTTCTTTCTGTTTAGGCGATTGGTAGATTCATAATGCTGATTTATTCGTTGGTACACTATGAAAAAGTTTGATAGATCATGTGGTGTGTGCAGAACAGCCATGAAGGGAAATATGGTGAATCCAATCCATTTGTCTAGTATCATGCCTGTTGTAGCTTTATTGCAAATTATTGGTCATATCAAATGTACCTTCTTAAGTGCTATAAGCCTATATCCGCAATTTTTCTAGGCCTTTACTATCTCTTGCATTGAATGTATTGCTTGTCTGATAGCTCACTTATGTCGTCTATCGTGTTAAACCATTTCCAGTAAACTATCCATTGTGGCATGTTTGACCAATTCTAACTCACACAGGTTTCGTCTATGTTGTTGTGATAGATAAGATTGGGAGTGGGTCATTGACACCGGTGAAGAGATAACATTAATGTGAGTTATATTTGATTATCATGGTCATTGACTTATGTAAGGTAGTCCGTTAGCCACACTCAGAACATCACTTCATTTTATGGATAGTTACCTATATTAGTTGTTGAATTATCTAGTTATTAAAAGCATGCATATGCATAACAATCCCGTCTGGGCATGAGGGGGTGAAAAGAGATACCTTTTATACCCATGGGTAATTCTTTTTTCTTTTTCTTTTTTGACCAAATATTGGATTGCAGTAAAACTAGGGCCTAATTCCTTAAAGAAAATTGTCAAAAGGCTAGCCAAATGTGAGACCACCTAACTAAAATACCACTTGTACGACCCACGACTGCCGCTGGCTGTGAGTTGAAACCCATGACTATCCTCCACTCCCAACTTAGCACGCTCCTTTGGTCATGATAGTAAATTATCTGGGCAATTGCTCAAGTAAAGTAGTAAACCATAATTATCTTGGATGAAAACTACTTGTGATTTGGGATCTTCTTTTGTAAACATTGTTGACCATTTTGGCTTGTGAATTTTGATGATTGATTGCACATTTGGTGTTTTTTTTAATTATTTATTTGATTTGAATTGGTCTTATTACTTTCTCTATTTAATATTTTGAAGAATATAGTGCATTGTGCTATCAGGTAATAGCTTTTCGTTTTTTTGTTGCCTAAGGCATCGGGCACTGGGCCATGGCTTGTTGCTTTGGTGTCAGTTATTCTATTGATAACTATGATTGCATTTCACGATGCAGAAAATATTGTTTTATATTTATCTGTTTGTTAGATTATGCTGATCATATTTCAAAGCCACTTTTGCCAGTAATTCATGACACTGGGTTAATGTACCTGGTTTCATTCAGCCAGGTTGAGCAGAACGCTACTAATCTATTGTCATTGCCAAGATTATGTTCTAGCCACTTGTTTGTACTGAAATTGGCCAATATTGTGCCTAGCCTAGAAACAAAAGTTTAGTTTGGTATTGGTTCCTTTCAGGTTATTTCAGTTCTTTGAAATGGCATATAATAGAAGCTCCTATAATGTTGCTGTTGTGTAAGAGAATTGATTAGGGTTCTTAAAAAGCCATCAAATATCTAATTCTCCTCCTTAACCCCAACCTGGTCATCCTTCAATGTTATTATCATTAAATAGGGCATATCCCTCTTCTCCTCCTTCTCCTTCTCCTTCTCCTTCTCAGTCTTCCAAATCAACAAACTACTTTTATGGAGATTTTTTGTACAGATCTTCAAACTCAACTTCACTATCATCGTCAACCACATTCTCTTTCTCTTCCCTTTCGCTTTTGAAGCTTGTTGTTTCTTCGAATTAGAACTCTTAGCACCCGAACCACCCGTTTGTTCTTTCCTTTTTGCAGCCTTTCACCTAGTATACGTTAACTCTTCTACTCCCAAAGCATTGTACATGGTTTCTCATTTCAATGTTGTGTCGTCGTAAAAAAACTAACTCACTCCCGGCCATAGTTATTAAAGGAGAATGGCAAGCCGTAATGATTTGCTTACGGCCTGGCCTCTAGGCGTGAAACGAGGCCATGATTCCTCCACATGAACATGCCACACTTGGGAAAAACAAAAGAAAATAATTGATAACAATACATATTAAAGTGTAGACTGTAGAATCATCTTCAAAAATTGCACTCACATGACTACAAGAGTCATTAGCACGTAGCAACGCAACGGGGTACTATATTCCTTGAGTAATTTTTGGTTTTCCCCTGAACATAAACCTAGTTTTTGCGGCCACTTTACTGGATTGTTTTTTATTTGGGAGAGATAGAATTTTACGTTATAATACATCTTAAGAGTGTTAATGTGTGATTGTTGATTACAGAACCGGAGCGGACTGGTCGGTTCAACCGGTTGGACAGAGAATCGGCCTTTGTATCGGTCCCGTTCATAAAGAAAAACTGCCTAGCTAAAGAACCACTTTAAAACTGCTTGAGCCTGTACAAACGCACCAGTACCCATTTTAGAGGTTTAAAGGGTTATTTAAAATATTGATTTTTGATTTTTTATTTTAGTTATTAAACATTAAAAAAACTGAAAATGACAAATATAAGGGGANACGATGGTTCATACTAGTCGTTGAATTCTATGTTTTGTGATGATTTTGAAATTGAACTAGTATGATTGATTTATTTTTCTTATATTAATGAATCGAACTTAATTTGGTGATTTTGTATTATCTTGCTTTTAAAAAATTGAACTATTATTGTTTTGATTCTCATGTTGAATTTGAACTAATACTACTTGTGGACTATTATTCGGAGACATAAGGCATTGTATAATCTGTTCCTTATTATCTTATTTTATGTCTAAATTATAATATATTGTATAGAATGAATAAAATTATATATTATACATTTGTAATGAATAAAATATTATAAGTTCAACTGGTTAGAATCGGATCCCTATTTTATCCTTTCTCTGTTAAGGTTTTCTGAATCGGATCCCTATTTTCTTCTTTTACTATTATTTTTGTATAGACCCGAGCTTATTTTGGAAGATTTGGGCTGGGCCAGTTGTTTTTCTTTTACCTAAAATGGGCTGGAGCCTGCTATTTTCTGCCATGGCCACCACAGAGCCATGACCTTCATGGTCATTTTTTTTTTTCCTTTTGTATTATTGGTATGGTTATCTTCTCAATTCCATATCTGTACCTATGAAGTTTTGGAACAAGTGTAAAAACTAAGAATAGAAATAGATTAAATGAACTTTTCATTTTTTTTTTTTTTATTTTCCTTTGTTTTCTTATCGGTCTTTTCCACTTCTTGTTGTACATCTTTTTTCCCTTCGTTTTTTTTTTTCTCTGGCTGCTTCACTCATGCACGGCAACATCCGTAGCTGGATCTGTTACCACCAAGAGGTGTTTCCGGCAGCCTCAGTTTTTTCTATGTTATTCTTTCTGTATATCCATAAGCAGAAAATGGCTTTATCACACCCTTGTATTTTCAGATGATTGATACAAAATTTCATTTAGAGAAAAAAAAACACACACACACACACACAAGCTGTCCCATTGATCCAAAATACAAAGAGATGTTTTTGTATTAAAAAACAACCTGCAGGAAGCCTGCCGGCAATGCTCAAATACATTTTCAGTTTTCATTTTGTTTTCATTTTTCAGTTTAAGAATAAAATATATTAATTGGATAAAGTTCATATCTATGCTTATGTGTTTGCTATTTATAAATTGGATAAAGTTCATAAGTCATAGATTATGCATTATATGCTTATGGTTTTGCAATTTATAAATTGCATATTGTTCACACTTCATAGGTTATAACTTTATAAGCTTAGGTCATAGATCTCTGTTTTTGTGTATTGGCTTGCCTCACTTCATTAAAGCAAGCACCTCACGCCTCACGCCATGGTAAATAGGAGACTTGTTGCCACTGCTTTCTGCACACCCTTTTAATCACAAGGCAATGTCAAATTATTTTTATCAACTGATCTTTTGATCTTTAGACTTTAGCTGGAATTCGAATGTTGGACCCTTAGATTGTTTGTATAGACATTTGGAAGATAAATTTTGAGAAAGCCTATTGGAACCTCAAGTAGGTTCAGCACAGACAGAGCTTTTCTGTCAATATTGGAGCTATAAGTTTCTGGATGGGATTGTTATGCGAGACCCTCATGTAGGGAGTAGAGGTTTGGTAAATATGATGTCCAAAATTGCATTTGGAAGGGAGGATATAATTCCATTACCAGTTCAAAATAGTAGCATAAGGATTTGAAGTTTTATTGTATACAATCAAACACATTTGATTGCTACTGTCGATCTGATTTATTTTCTAACTTTCTGATAGAGATAATGATAAAGACCAATTTCTGAAAGTTTATTCTAGAAGACTGAAACGAGCTGCGGCTGCTCCTACTGGGCCCTAGGGCGTAGGCCCAATTATCCTTATTATTTAGTTAATATAATTAGTTAAGTTAGCAGGCTCTTAAATGGGCTTTAGGGTTTAATTAATAAAGTATTAGGGTTTAGCATATATATATTGGTGGCTAAGAGTTAGATTAGTTATTCTGGAATATTGACGTTTGTGGCAGGCAAGATAGCCTGAGGACCCTTCGGGGTAGTTCTTTCATTATCTATTGTTATTATTGCCCTTCACTCTATCAAATTGGTCCGACCTGCAAATCCTTGTATGCAAACAAGGATGGACGCCCGTTTCGTGAGGGTGGAACACCGTTTAGAGATGATGGAGAAGGGCCCTGGCGAGGTATGTACAAAATTTTCTTCTATCGAGGCTATGTTCGCTGCCATCATGAAGGAGAAGGAAAAAACATCCGATTCTGGGGTCTCCCACGAGGCGGACACATCCCAGACCACGAACCATATCACTACGTTCTCTGGGCCACCAAAAAATTGACCTCCCCTCATTTGATGGATCTGACCCAACTGCTTGGATAGCCAAGGCTGAGCAATTTTTTTTGGTTCACCGCACTCCAGTGGCGGAAAAGGTTCCAATTGCGCTCGTCGCCATGTCTGGGGATGCATTATACTGGGTTCAAGGGTTAATGCGCCGTTTTCCGACTATCGTTTGGCCCCAGTTCATTGAAGAACTATTGTTTCACTTCAGCACTCTGACGACTGTGAATGCATATGAGGCTTTGAAGGTCACGCGGCAAACCGGCTCTGTGGATGACTATATTTCTGAATTTGAAGCTTGTGTTGCTCAGGTAACATTATTTGGGTCAGTTTTTAGGTGGTTTACGCGAGGATATCCGAATCCGTATACGGGATGACCCTTCCATGAGTGTATGCTGCCATTCGATTGGCTCGTCAAGTGGAACGTGAATTGAATTTCGCAAACTACCCATCGGGTAAGGGACAACCTCGTTCATCGTACTTTCCCTCCTCAAGTTCTAGCTGCCCAGGGTCCACGCTTCTCGTCACCTCTTCAGCATACTTCACAAATCCAACAGCCTCAAGCTCGCTCGACTCCCACCCTGAGTTATGGAGCCAACCAAAAAGGGTCATCCTCTAATGCAGGATCCACTATTCCATCTCAAAGTTCCGTAGACTGCGTCAACTCACACCTTCCGAGTACCAGACCCATCGGCAACAAGGTCTATGTTTTGATGCAGCCAACCCTATGGCCCGACACACGTTTGCCCAGACCGTTCCCTAAACGTGATGCTCGCGGGTGAGGAGTTGGACTTTTCACAACCATCAGATTCGGAGATACTTATTGTCTCTGAATTGGTAGAAGAGGTCCCAGACTCTCTGACAAGTGAACCTCCACTTCTCCAAACCTTACAACTTTCACACCTTGCAGCCAAGGGTTTTGATGGTCCCCATACGATGAAGCTGATAAGCAGACTTGAGAATTTCAAGCTCTTGACTATGGTTGATAGTGGCGCTAGCCATTGTTTTATTTCAGAAAGGGTTGTGGATAAATTGGGATTACATGTGGAGCCTTCACCGACGTATTCTGTTATGCTCGGCAATGGTCAACGCATTTCCGCACAGGGATTGTGTCGCGCCCTTCCTCTTTATTTGCAGTCGGCTACATTTATGGTTGATTGCTTTGTTTTTCCGTTGGGAGGGGTGGATATAATATTGGGTGTCTCTTGGTTGGCTTCTTTGGGGGATGTGAAAGCAAACTGAAAAAACTTGACAATGGAATTAGTTAAAGATGGTCGTACGATTCTTCTGAGAGGGGATCCCTCGTTCACCCGCCAAGCTGTTTCTGTGGCTACAGCAATTCATGAATTTTCAGACGGTGAGCAAACATGGCTTTTATGGTCGATGGATCATTCAGAATCTCCATCGCGTTGTCCTGTGTCAACCGAGCCTCATTCACCAACTCAGGATGAAATCTCGTCTCTTTTAGCGGAATTTTCGGAGATCTTAACACCATTTTCCGGACTACCTCCTAAGCGACACATTGACCATCATATTAACCTGCAGCCGGGTACCGAACCCATTTCAGTGAGACCATACCGCTACAATCATTTTCAAAAAGATGAAATGGAACGACTGGTGGCAGATATGTTGGAAGCTGGGTTGATCCGCCCAAGTTGCAGCCCCTACTCGAGTCCTGTTCTCTTGGTTCGGTTCGCAAAAAGGATAGTAGTTGGAGGTTTTGTGTGGACTACCACGAGTTGAACAAGCATACGATTCCGGACAAATATCCTATCCTTATCATCCAGGAACTATTAGACGAGCTGCATGGGGCAAAGTGGTTTAGCAAGCTCGATCTCCGGGCCGGTTACCATCAGAGATACAGATTGCTGAAGGGGACATTTCTAAAACGGCGTTTCACACACATTCAGGTCATTACGAGTTCTTAGTAATGCCTTTTGGGTTGACTAATGCTCCCGCCACCTTCCAGGCCATCATGAATGATATTTTCAGGCCTCATCTTCGTCACTTTGTGTTAGTCTTTTTTGACGACATCCTGGTGTATAGCAAGACGTGGCAGGAGCATTTGTGCCATCTCCCACAGGTATTGGGCCTCCTTCAGGAACACTCATTTTCAATAAATCCGAAGAAGTGTTCGTTTGGAAAGAAATCTGTCGAGTATCTCGGCCATGTGGTCTCGTCAGATGGGGTGCATATGGACCCAACAAAAATCGTTGCAGTGATCCAATGGCCGCGTCCTGCTTCTCTTAGCCTGCGTGGTTTCCTTGGCCTCACAGGTTACTATCGTCGATTCATTTGTGGTTATGGCAAGATTGCCTCTCCTCTCACGTCTCTATTGGAAAAAACGACATCTCGGGAGTGGGTCTGGCCTTGTGAGGTTGAACAAGCTTTCCAAGAACTCAAGCAATCACTAACTTCCGCTCCGGTTTTAGCTATGCCTGATTTTTCATTGCCGTTTGTCATTGAATGTGATGCATCTGGACGAGGGCTTGGTGCGGTTTTGATGCAACAAGGTCGTCTGGTGGCTTATTTTAGCAAGGGTATTTCAGACCGCGCCTTGGCTAAATCCGCTTACGAGAAGGAGTTGATGGCA